TAAATTACTGACGGATTAAAGATAAAATTTAATTAAATATATAATTAATTAAAATTCATCGCTAGTGTTCATTGGTATATATGCATGGATTACTTATATCTAATTGATAACTAACTTGACCACCGTCACACGCTCTAACACAAAAACATGTTAAATAAGTGTGAAAAATCGTGTTTGAATCTTGTTGATGATATCATTTCACCGACGGATTAACGATGAATTTTAATTAATTATGTATTTAATTAAGTTTTATCGTTAATCCGTCAATAATTTAATCATATTATTTTCTATTTTTTTAATTTGAAAAATCACCAACGAGATATATTTTATTTTTAATTAAAATAAATTTCATCAGTAATCATTTTTAAATCTTTTTTTATTTTTTTAATTTGAAAAATCACTGACAAAAAATATTTTATTTTTAATTAAAATAAATTTCATCAATAATCTTTTTTTTAAATGTAAGTATTTTTTTGGTATATTTATTCCATTTTATAGATGTTAGTATTTTTTTTAAATAAATGTTTATGGACTTAATCGTTTAAAATATGAAAGTCTATTGGCTCTTTTTCAGATTTTTTCTATTATTTTACCACATGAACCAGTTGTATAGGTCATAAGAATGTATTTAACAGATTTTGGAATGTCCAAGAAGTTATTTAATAAGTTTTGGAATGTCCAATGACTTATTTGTTCCAAAAAATTGTCGAATGACTTAATCACTTCAAACACTAAAGTCCATTGGGCTTTTTTAGACTTTTCTCTTTACTACCAATTAACACCAACATGTATCTACATCTTAATCTGAATAACAACAATAAACATACCCACATAAAGTAATCAACTTCACCTGATTTCACTTAGAACCTGTTATAATTGAACCTGATTATGAAATTTAAAACAGGTTCTAAACCTTAAAGAAAAAATTTAATGAAAATGGAAGGAAATGCACCTGATTGCAAAATTAATGTCTGCTTTCGTGTTTTGAGAACAATAGAGAGCAAACGACACAAAACAATGCAACAACATAGAACGATCGCATAGCAGAATTAGGCTTGCACATAGCGTGAATGTGGTGAGGTTAGTGTTTTGAGAATACCAATTGAGGGAAAGAAACGTGGGAGATAATTCAAGGGCGTGGGGTGGGGAAGAAACGTAGGAGATAATTCAAGGGCGTGGGGGTGGGGAAGAAACGCGTCAAATATGGTGAGGTTATCTGTCGTTAAACTTGTACCTGATGCATAAGAGGATGTACCTCTTAAAATTCAACCCATAACCATTTAAACTCCTTATATTTATCAGATAAAAAAAGGTTAGGTTTGACTGATCTTTAATTT